GCCCCAGCAATGGAGACACTAATAGGCTGGTAATAGTATAGAAAGGAACGCTACTTTCAAGTTTTCCCCGGTTCTTAAAAACCATAGATCCGGAGGTTAAAAGTCATTGTTATTTCAGCAGCACAGCTGCCATTCAAAGTCAACTAATTGACATTCCTTCGTCGCACGCCGGCTTATTAAAAAGGCCCCTGGTGAGATAATTGTGTTATAGATAAATTAGTTGTTGAAAAATTGGTCGACGGACGGAAACGGAAACACGAGATGAATTTTGCAGTTGATCTATGAAAAGAATACATTAAAGGTAAGGCTCCACTGTGTTCGCACGTACTTTGTAGACGGATTTGCTTAAGTAATACGTCCAATAAATCCGGATTTTTAATAGAACTACCATTTATCAGGTTGCCGAAGTTATCATACTATACATGATGCGAAGTAATGTATAATAATTAAGTGTTTGCGTAAATCGATCGACACACTTCGCATGAGTGCAGTTAAAACTATAGAAAAATCCGTTGCGTACCGTACGTCTGTAGTTTGCGTTCGTCAGGGTAGATGTTGACTTTTATCAGTTAGATCAAGTAATTGAAATATCAAATATATTAGAGATAAAAGATCACATACACTTTTTATTGGAGTACGATATTCTCGCGATTCAATAACATCTCCTAACAATTTTCTGTAAAACTAATGTTGAAGACAAGAAGTAAACTTTGATTGTATACTTCCAGTGAAGTAATATATAAATAATATTTTTTTTGTTGAATAAAGTATACACTAAAGGTATACCCTATTAATAGTTTAATTATGGATTTACATATAGGCTACTTTTTTATCGTACTAAATGATTCTCGAAGGGTAAAAATACCATTAAGTTATCATCATAAAAACTATACAAGTGTTGCCACTGGCGGAGAGCTAGTAATTAAATCAATGAATGAAAGAAGTATCCAAAAGACAAAGCGACTGATACATTGTTCCCTGATAATTAATTAATAAGGAGTTACCGTATTTTATTTGCTTATTGCATGATACTTCTTCTTTCGTTTCAAATCTCATGAAACGATGCAATAAAAGTCAAAGTATACCTTCAAATTATAGCCGCAATAAAAATTTTTTGAACAATAATAAAAGCAGCGATTCCTTTAAGGCTGTTAGTTATTGAACCCTATCGCGTTGTCCTAAGGTTTCTATTATCATGGAGTTTCGATATACCCATATGATTCTGATCCTTTAAAGCGTTTTAGACTATATTCCGATATGTTTTAAGTATCAGTATATGTTATCATTATTTTAGTAAATTCTAAAAATGTTTTATTGCGTGCTAGACAGGATTATTTTTATCCTTCAGCACAGTATTAAGGGCCATTCTTTTGATGTTATCTATAGCATTTGTCTATTTACTTTATAAACAACTGTTTCCCATGATTCGCTTGGGTAAGTAATAGCATATGTAACTTGAAAGGAAGGAAGTACGTTTTGGATTCTTCGTCAATTTTTTCTATTATTGTAATTTGTAGCCTATTTGTTAAATAAGATTTATTCAAATCATGCAAATTAACTCCGATTCCATAGTTTAACAATTTTCGCAGAAGAATCTGGAAGTCTACATAATCGAATGCTATGGTCATATCCATATTAAGTGCTATAGTTAATTCATTTGTCAATATTTTTTGTTTCTTTATACAGAAAGTTATAGATGGCTTTATTAGTAGATTTACTCTTTTAAAAATCATACTCATTGCTGAGCTACTAAGATATTATTAGACTAGAAATGAATATAGGGACTTATATATAATATTTTTTCGAGTATTTTGGATATGACTGATAATAATGCCACAGGTCTGTAACAATTAATATCAGACAGTCTTGATGACCGAGACCTTCGCTCGGTATTCCTTTTTTTTTTGTTAATGAAACCTGGCTAGTTCAATTTATCGCCCGCGAAACTTGTACTCAAACTATTTTTAACAGGTTTCCTTTCTAATATTTTTAATGATAATTTGATAGCAGTTTCATAGTACTATCACTTTTGCCATGTGATAATAAGTTGAGATTTTTTAGTTTTTTCAATTCAGAAACCGGCTGAATATATACAAGTATGTCGTGGCCAGATCGTAGGATTGACTAATTCATGATGCGGCCGGCCATTTAATGAAATGGAAACTTGCTGTCCGCATCATGATGTGGCTTAGCCAAATCAATGAATAATTTGCGTTTATCGATATGGGCGGCTGATCGTATGACTGCTTCATTATGTGGTGAAGCGTTAGCGATCATATCGTAAAATAGTTTCATTAGTCTCATTAAGAGGCGTCGTTACATTATTTTTGTGATACATGATGTATTTTAATTTTTAAGTTAAACAACAAATTAAAGAAAGTAGGGTGACTAAGCAACGGAAAACAATTACTTGATTAAGTTTAGTGAGATAATTGTAGGAGTGTAGTGCGAAGGTGCGGTGGCAAAGGCTATTGTATATTTTACGGATATGTCGCAAAATTATGAGAGACAGGATTTTGATCAGATGATAAAAGTATTAGTACTAAATTTCCTATATGATTCAATGCTGTAGGTCACATGATACGTAACGTGTAATTCGAAGTTATTTTTTTCAGAAATCAAAATGATAAAGCTAACGTATAAACAAACTTTTTAGCAAATAATTAAATTTCTTTTTAGGTCATCGGGTCATAATAGAAATGACCTTAAATGATATGATCAATTCTACGTGGCTCTTTTATGCAATACAACCATGTCAAGAAATGGCCGGCTGAAATATCAATTATAAATACATATACAAGAATTCTCGTTTAAAGATATTAGATTTTAACAAGGACCATTATATAAAGGAGATAATTGTTTTAGTTACTACGTAGTATAATCAAAATCCCTCTTAATCTCTAACATGCCCAGTGTTAGACGCCTAAACTACGAAATAGATCGATTGGTGAGAGCTAATATCCAAAGTTGTAGCCGGGGCCAACGGTTTAATCTACCTTCCGAGAAAATAGCAAATAGGAATTTCAAAAACTGGTCAAATATTCAATAAAAATAAAAAATACCCGCTACAGAGTGGGGCAACTTATAACTTGCCTATCGATACAAAGAAGATCGCTCAAAATGATCTGACGACCTCCGTGACCGAGTGCCTCGTAAAGATGTCGTCATCTGCGAGGTCCCGAGTTCTATTCACGATCTTGAATCTGAGTGGTATTTTAGTTGTTTCAGATTTCCATAATACAAAAACTTTAATAAATTGGATTCGCAATGTATATGATGTTGGCTAATAATATTTATGTAATAAAATTTTGATCATCTGTTCTGTGCATTTACGAACTTAGCTTAAACTTCATAATGGCAGGAAATCAATAGGAACTATACTATCGAGCTCATCAGTTTACAAGTAACTACAAAATGTCATGAGCATAATAACGTTACATTGCATTATATGTATTGGGTTATTGTCGATCGGGCTCGATGCGCGAGCGCACTATTTTTGAACTGCATTTAGGTTAGACGCAACTTCTCTTCACAATTAGAGACAGCTGTTGTGTTGCCAATTGATACTCGGCTGATTGTAATTCGTGAAAAAGGGCCATATAAATCCTCTTTAGTGATAAAGCTAATTATTTTCAAATTTCATATTTCATCAACCACACGTCTGATTTTCTCTTTACGCACATTTTTATTAACGGCTAGAACTCAAATGCGGGGTGTAGACTTTTTAAATTTTGTGACACTGTTCGAAGCGATAGTTCGAAATAATATTTGAAAACCTTAAACTTGAATAATTTATGTAATATTTACTTGAATAATTATTTATTATCATGTTCATGTTTGCTTTGGTAGGCAATTAGGGCAACCTCCGGGTGCAGTAGGATGTAGTAGCAACGTGAAGATATTGATAACTATAGATATTATTTCTGCGTCACATCTGTTGTAAAAGGGTTAACTAAGGCATAATATGAGTTATTATAAGTTAGAGGTTAAAATCGGAAAACCATAGAAATTTACGAGTGTAGGCCACCGTCCTCATGAGTCACTCAGTGACATCATTACTAAAACACGATCCGAGATTACATCCCAAGGAAAGCCGATAACCCTCGAAGCCTTCGTCGAAACCCATCAAGCCTCACTAATTACAGGAACCGTTATTTATCATGTTTAACGTACGTGGGTACAGAAATAGCTTTTTTTTATTAACGCCACTTGCGTGACAAGAGTTTTTTAGTTTAGACTGGTCGCTCGCTGCAAGCCAATATTTGCTTAGTTTAGGGATCGCTAGATTAAAGGACAGTTTGTAAAACATGAATGAAAATAATATAAGGTTATTATTATTATCATATCATTATGTTATATAAAGTTCCAGCAACTTCGCTCACGTAGGTTATAGCATTATACAAGGTTATGGGTAATTAGACGGGATCCTTTAAAGGGGTCGTAGGGGAGGTCATTTACAAATATTTTCACCTCACATTAAGTATCCGAAAGTGAGCCATTTTTGTAATAAATTGTATTGATTTTTTTCTTAAAAAAAGTCGAAAATAAAATTTTATTACGATCAGAATCTAATTTTGTTGACAGTTTTGGAGAGATAACATTCCAGTTCGTGATAAATAATAATAAAACCCAAATAATCTTGACCCAAACCGAAACTAGGGAGTTGAAAATTAAAAAAAAAAAGGTTTTTGTTGTTGTAAATTTGCAAACAAAAGTGCATTTAAAAAAAATAACTTTCGTATATGGGGTGAAAATAATTTAAAATGACCTCCCCTACGACCCCTTAAAAGGATCCCGTCTACATAATTACCCATCACCCTGTATAAAGTTCCCGCAACTTCGCTCACGTAAGTTATAGAATTATATCACCTGCGTATAATGTAGCTTCCTGTAGGTGAAATAACCCAGTTAGGATCATTACCTCTTTATAAGTGCATAGTATAGATAATATGTATTTCATAAAATTTAGTCAATAACTCGATTTTGTATCTTTGTTGCAGGGGACCAAATATCCAGAAAAAAAGACAGCGACGACTTAAACAATTCTAAAATGACCCTTCGTTAGTTAATCAATCATATTCCTCTAATCTACATAATAAAACAACCTAGATTGTATATTAAATCACCCTTTTGTAAATAATTGTTTATATAAAGTGAAGTGTTCCCTTAAAAGTGTAGTGTTATGAGTAAAGTGACTTTATGAGGCGGTTCAAGTGTAAAGCGCATGGAATTATCTAGAAGAATCAACGTGATTCGATCGGTGACTGGAGCATTGATCGGGTAACTTTTTTTTTCTTATATCTAGTGTAGTCGATAGAGCGTTTCACAATTAAGTACGTACTAAGTTTAATTTAAGAGATTTTATGAATTTGAAAAAACAATTTGCATTATTAATTTCGGCTAATTTGGATTTTATTTCTTGATACAAAATTCTTTGACCACTCTTGATTAAAATAATTGTACGATTTGTTACAGATAAATGTGTCTGATAGTACCACCAATTAATGTGTTTCATTCATATATAGAACGGTTGTAGAATAAAAGAAGATATAACGAGAAGGTATATTATTAAAATCGTATAATCTCGTACTTAACACCACATATTAGAGAGCAAGGTGTAGACAACACAAAACTATATTAATTTAGCCGGTCATTTAGACCGATTAGTTAGACGATCAATGGGGGTTGTGATCAGTTCAAAATTAAAATTAATTGCGGATTTATTTTCAAAGTTGCGGATTGATGATAAAATTATATAAAAGGATACTACGTGATCCGCTTCAATCTGGCATCCATCAACACATTACACGATCAATCTATTGGATTAATTTGACACCAAATCGGTTGTATAATTGCCCGGAAGTAATTTCGCATTTTTTAAAAGTTTAACAAGGTCCATGCCCGCTTGTGATGAAAAATTTATTAATAATACAAATATTTCTTGTTGTATTACTGAGATTAAGAAATGACAATTACATTGTTTTCTGTGCACATTTAACACGAAGATTCTTTGAAGATTATAACTAAAGCAAATTAAAAAAAAAGCTAGTTTATACATATTGTAATGTAAACTACATAATTTATTTCACATTTATATTACTGATATTCTGTCATAATATTTACACAATTGGCAAATTTTGAGAGCTGCCTCAATTATAAATGTTAGAAGTCGAATTCAAGGCATAAACATGGATAGTTTCAATTAAAAATCCAGTTCGAGTTTCTAGACTGTTTATTACAGAGCAAACTGTTGTCCCGCGATTTCGCCCGCGTAAATTATAACTTCCCGTAGGTCAAAGAATTATCAAAATCGGTCCAGTAATTACAAAGCCTATTTAATACTAACAAACATTAAAATCTTAACACTTACTGCTGCTGGAAAATAAAGAAAGCCGGAATTACATAGTGCTATATATTATTAATAATTTCAATATCATTTATTTTGTCCAGACTAATTATAAGCACATGTGAATATAGAAAGCTAAAAGATATCAATTTGTAAAATCTACAGCGGGAGACCATGTACTGAGAAGAACCGGCTGAAACTGAGCAAGAGCTGTTTCTTTTTCTCCTTGTTTTATTTCATAAAGTTAAGTCAAACTTGAAAGACTGTGTATTAGTAGAAATCACTTTCAAGTATTTAACTAAGAAATCACTTTCAATTACAATATCAGGAAAAAACAAAACAGATATACCGAATCATAACCTCATTGAGAAATACAATATACAATATGCATAATAAAAAAAAACTACAAAATTAATTAGTCCAGATCAGACTCCTCCCCACTGGCAGTATAATTTAACTGACCCTAATTTTCTTGATCATTGAAAAGCAACACACCAGACATGTGTGCCTATTTCATTCACATGTTATAATGTTTACATTACAAATTAATTCACATCTAGGTTTGTATATTATTTCGACGTCAGTTATATTTGCATTTTTATGAATACATCGGTGATGATTGCTTATACCATACGGTTATTGCATAAACAGTTCGGATAATTCAATTATGACATTTTATTTTCTATACAAAGATTAGGGGGGGGGCAGGTGAATTAAGCGGGTGGTATAATTTATACGAGCAAAATCGCGAGAATACAGCCAGAAATGTTATAAATTTCGGGAAGTCAACAAAAGAGATACGTCGCAGTTTTATTATTGTTTGATCGTCTTTCTGTCGATAGAGATGGCGCAAATTTGAAGTTATTTTTTTTGACAATGTATTTGTCACTGAAAATATTGGTAATATTATCTGATTTTTATTATAATTTCGTGTTTTGCGTTTATAAAGTCACAATTTTGATTGTATAGTTATATTACATTATAATATTGTTATTTTCGACTGACACGTTATGCGTGATGCCTTTTTGTTTACTTGTAAATAAAAAAGACACTCTCAAAAACTCAAAAGAAAGTTCACTCTGAAAATCATTAAATACTTACTGTCTACCATTGATAAAATTTCATTATTGGAAAAATATAAACAGTTTCAACATTATTCACGCTAAAAGATAAGATTGGCAGATGCTGCACTACTACATCAAAGAAACAGTCTATTTACGACGCTTTAAAGGAATTCTATCGACATCCTGTCGTTTCAATCAAGGAGTAAAATATCAAGGCATAAACCAAGTTACATCGGAATTTGTTGAAATACAATATTATTAAATCACTTTCACTATAATCTGGACACGAAAGAATAAACATGCAGTATTTAAGCTTTTTTCATTAAAATATAATATTATAACTGTTTATAGTCATAAATTTATGTATATAAAGTCGTAAATGTATGTTTATAGTCATAAATTACGTTATTAAGTCTAATAACCTGATCTCAAGGTATGAGAGACAATTTGAAATCTTTACTTTGAATAACAAAGGAATTCTGTTCAAAATACGGCTTCGAACCACAGATATGAGATAGAACACAACGCGAGCACCTTCAAATGGTATTAATTAAAATTATATTAATCCTCTAGCACTGATGGCGCTGTATTCAACGCTGAGTTCGATGCTGTTTTCTACAGAATAGCAAAGCTAGTTTATTGTTGGATTTTATAAAATAATGCACGTATTAAATTAAATTTTTATTTATGGCCTTTCAGACCGTCATTAATAAATCCAGCAACGTCATTAATGGGTCTCGATCTATCATCCACACACTAGAGCTTCTGTCACAGAGCCAGGATATAAATAGAACTTTAATACAATTTTTCGGTTAGAGAATACACCCTTAGATTTCACAGTCCCCTTCAAAGTTGGGTCGTTGTTCCTAAACCCTTAATTATAGTGGGCCAACTTGTCTAAACTTTGGATCTGTTTACTTAAGTCGTTACTCTGCAGCTCGGGGCAGGGTACCAATTGGATAAACTGTATGATTCGCTACAGGGACTAAGGTAGGACAGTATAATATATCATTGACTGTAGGGGACTACTGTATCCTGTAATTTAATTATCGCTAATTATGAATGAAATGGCCACGTTAGGGACAAAGTCAAAAACAGAAACGGAGAAACACGACACGGAGCAGCAACCGCTTTGTTTAAACTACGCGGAAAAAATCGTTTTAAAGAATAATTGAATGTTGTTGCAGTAAATATATTTATATATTTAGAATTTATGAGTATTTGGATAAAATTAATTATATAATATCTATTGAAATAAAAAGTATATATCTTTAAGAACCTAAAGAAGCAGGGGTGGATAGTTTCGGCACGTTTCTTAGTTCATTATAACTCTACCGATTTAAAAATGTTGCATTACCCCACCATACGTTACCGCAATACAGCTTTTTAATTTGGTCAAATTATGATATATTCTTATTTTTCAAAAACGTAATCTGTAATTATCATTGTTTGTTAATACTACTTTTTGTTATATTTGCCGCTATCCGTGATTAAGTTGTTAATAGTTGTGTTGTGTTAGGTAATTAAAACAAATTGTCCTTTTAATTATAATAATATTTAGTTTGTTTTGTAACATTTAAATAGAATCAACTAATTTAATTGTTTTTATAAGGTTGTTAATCGATAGTTTTGTCCTGTTAATTCTGCATGTATAATAAAGTAACCATTATAAATTGTCGGGAAGGAAATAATAGTTAAAATGCCAAAAGTAATAATAAGATATGAGCATGACATTTCGGTCCACTCTATGATTTGAAGTTGTTAACGTATCAAAGATGTACAGACAGTGCCAGCCACATCTCAACACTTGGGGTGCGTGAAGAAGGGAAATGTCCCGGCTCATTCAGATAAGGTAGTCTGATATTGTTCAAATAATAATATTGTTAGTTTTCAACAAAACCATTAATATTGTTAGTTTTTTTATTTAATTTCTTTTTGAAAATAAAATGTTTTGCACTCTTTTTTCTAATGTTATAATAAATGGAGTAAGGCCCTTTCAGATTCAAAAGTGCTGTAAATATGTAAAACTTCGCTTTTTGATCTGCCGTACACGTTTAAATTTGAGCTGCCGCTCTTCGATTAAGAAGTTTTTATGCTCAAGTGCAATCTTGTTAAAGTCGCGAGATCTCGCCCATTTTTCGGAGCCGAGATCAATCTCGCCGATCAAGAACGAAATTTCGCGAGAACGAGATTGCATTCCTAATAATAGTACGGAAGCCTTCGTGTGCACTTGACCAGTATTAAATGTATAATTTAGATTATATTGACATTAACATTTGAGAGACTACAAAGAAAGTATGCACGCTGGCTATATTAAAAAATCTACGGCTATTACCCGTATTTGTACCCGTCTCTATTTGTATCAGGATTGCTTAATCTGGAGACCCTAGCACATCGAAGAAAAGTTCTCCTCGCTGCGCATTACCTCTCTGTGCTATATAACAAACTGGATTGCCCAGATATATTAGAAAAGGTGAGCATTTCGGTTCCCATGCGTGTTTCGAGCGATGCTGCAGGTTTAGTGAAACCACGACGAATGCCGCGTCTTCTCCCTCGACCTCTCACTCGTACTGTTTATGCTTCGCAAGCGCCCACAGTATGCGTCTGATCGGTGATGTGCTCGCTCATCACGAGAAATCTGATTTATTTGTGGATGGTGTAAGACAACTAGTAGCTATGACTAGACAATTTCTAAATTTTATAGAATTCAGCAGCAGGATATAGTTGACGTTGTGTATTCATACTGACATTAATTATTTGAATTGGCATGTATTGTAGTGTTCCAAATTGTAATTTATTTCTCTATTTTTTATTTTATCATTTTAATGTTGACTTTTAAGCTAAGCTAATGGATTTATCAAATTTTAATT